ATACAGACTAACACGGCTGCTACTCTGAAAGAAAAGCTTACTTATAGATGCAGTGCAATAACAATCAAAGGTGTGGAAACGGGTGCCCTCTGGTCCTTTTACCCTCCTCTGGTGTTGAGTGCAAGGGATACTGAACCCCCCACCCCAGCCTTATAGGATGTTTGGGGGAAGAGGTTGTAGAACTGGGCAACGATGACAGTAGGTTCAGCATAGGCTGCAGTTACTCTAGCATCCAGCTGCCTTTCTTGAACCTCAACCAGACTCCTCAACATGTCTGATTGCTCCTTCATAATCCCCAGCATCTCTTCCTGCGCAGCACATTCTTGTTCCCTGTATGCTGTCCTGTCCTCCCTGTCCATCTCCAGGTTCTCGGACAGTGTAATCCTCCATGCCCTAACTGATCTTTAATTCCCCGGGTCCTCTTTGTGTGCCTTTTTAAAGATAAGTACTGTTTTGCCTTTTTTCCAGTCCTCTGGGACCTCATCTGTCCTCTGAGTTCTCAAAGATAATGGCTGTTAGTTTTGAGACTGCTTCAGCTAGCTCCTTAAGTATCTAGGATGAATTTCCTCAGGCCCTGCTGACTTGTATTTAACTTACCTAAATATTCTTTAACCTGTTCTTCTCCTATTTTGGCTTGCATTCCTTCCCCCTTGTTAATATTGTGTTGAGTGTCTGTTTGGTCATCATTTCACTTTTTAGTGAAGACTGAAGCAAAATAGGCATTAAATACCTCAGTCGTCTTGATATCATCCGTTATTAGCTCTCCTTTCTCTCTAAGTAGAGGACCTACAGTTTCCCTTTGTCTCTCTTGCTCTGAATATATTTAAAGTGCCTCTTTTTATTGCCTTTTGTCCCTTGTTAGGTATAACTCATTTGTGCCTTAGCCTTTCTGGTTTTGTCCTTTCATGCTTCTGCTATTCTTTTGTATGTCTTAGCAATTTGTCCATGTTTCCAGTTTTTGTAGGATTCCTGTTTGATTTTGGGGTAATTAAAGAGCTCCTGATGGAGCCATATTCACCTCTTACTGTTCTTCCTGTCTTTCCTTTTCATCAGGATAGCTTGTTGTTATGCCTTTAATACTATCTCCTTAGCAACTGCCAGCTCTCCTGAATGCCTTTATCCCTTAGATTTTCTTCCCACAGGCCCTTATCTACCAATTCTGAGTTTTAGTCTGCTTTTTTGATGTCTGTTGACCTTATTCTGCTGCTCTCTCCTTCCTTTCCTCAAAATTGTGAAATCATTAGGGCTGTAAGTGACTGCCTCTAGCTCTCTGGTCCTGGTATCATACCAAATGTCTGAATGAACTTGGACGTGCTTGTCTTCTGAGTATTTTTTCAGGGTTAAATGAGTGACTGTTGTCAGTCATAGCATCTTTATTTGGGGGAGATGGATATGGGAAACTTGAGCTAGCTGTAAATTTAATCTGAACTATATAGTGCTGCTGAAAGTTTTTTCTATATTTTAAACTTGTTGTTGGTGTGCTGATCTCTAATCTTGCTTTTGGCCTTTCAGTGATAAAGTAAGAATAATTAATGTTTGCTCTTGATTCTTGTATTTTAGATACCATGTAATGGAAAGGCAGCAGATCGCATTCACCAGGATGGGATACACATCCTCATTAACATGAATGGCTACACTAAGGGAGCCCGTAACGAGCTGTTTGCTCTCAGACCAGCACCTATCCAGGTAAAGGAATTAAACAGTGTTTGGAGAGCGCTGTCTGATGTAAGATCAATGCTCAACATTGTCATAGAACAGGCTGGTTTCTCTCTTCCCTTTTAAGTTGGGAGTGCTGTGGAAGTGGCATGCTGATCCATATTGGACAGGAAGAAAGTAAGCATTGCTCTGTAAGGAGTAGTGTATGAATAAAATAATTAGTTTATATACAGTTAGCTCCCTTTTTCCAATATTTATATGTTGAATAATATTCCAAGGAAAGAGTAAACATAGCTTCATGGTTCCTGAGCACGCTAGCTTCTCGTTCTGATGAGAGCAGATATTGTAAGCAGTGTGGTCAGTCATGCTGTTTGGAACAAGGCCTCAGCTTTGAATCTTTGCAGGAAGGATACGACTAGGAGAAACCAGAGCTGCCTCTGGGGAATTTATTTCCATGAAGAAGAATAATTCTGTACAGGTTGAATACATGATTGCATAAGCACAATATTTTTTGGTAACATAGCATCAGATAATGGTGTGTATATACTGCTGAACTAGGTGTGGTTTGAACATGCTGTGGTATACTGACACCAGTGTCCTTACAGTGCATATATGCAAACATGCCATGTTCAAATTAAAATAACTCAATACCAACACATAGTGGAAGATTAATGCTACTAAGAGGAAACCCTGGATGATGGAAATACCCAAGGTAGTGACATTTTAAATATATAGGTGAGCTGAAACTGTTAGATACAGCTTTAATCTGTTGTAGATGAGCTACATTTTTAAGTTACAGTGAGCTCAAGCCATGTTATAAAATTCTATAAAGCAAATTTATTTTATTCTGCCATACAAAAATGTTAGAGCAGTTTACTGTTATCAATATGTGGATACTTACAGGATCTGCATTACTGTAATATCCTGATGCCTCTCATCGTTAATGGATTTTATCCTTACAATACTCCTGGTAGGCAGGGATATTTCATTTTATAGATAAGGAATGGAGAGACAGGGCAGGGCACATCAGGATGTTGTTGTGGAACTGGTAATTGAACTGTGGTCTCAAGTGAGTCCAGTATCCTATGTGCTAGGCTATCTTTCCATCCTTCATTGATGCTGTATTGTTGGATAATAGTGTCCTTGGTTTAAAATGCACACTGGGTTGATTGAGTTATTTGAACTCATTCTGCATTTGGAGGCTTTCCGTGGCCAACACAGAACTGCCATTTCCAAAGTATTTTCTGAAAAAATACTGGAAAAATGTAAGTAGCAAGAGAGAGCTGTCAGGTTTGTGTTTATTTTATCTTGCCTTAGGTGTGCTAAAATCTCTTAGTATAGATAAGGAGACAGGGTTCCTCAGAGCACAGATATTCTTGAAGATAGTTTGGCCTGTGGACTTCTAATTTTTTAAGGGTGCTATATACACAAAATTCTCACTCCTGGGTCTCTGCCTCCAATATGAGACTAGGGAGTCTCAAAGCTAAACAGTCTTGGACTGTTGCAGCATGCACACGCATCAGCAGGTAAGATATTCTTGCCTTCTCATTAGCAGGGCCCTACAAATTCACAGTCCATTTTGGTCAATTTCATGGTCATAAGATTTTAAAAATCATAAATTTCAGCTATTTAAATCTAAAATTTCTCAGTGTTGTAATTGTAGGGGTCCTGACCCAAAAAGGAGGGTTTTTTGCGGGGGAGGGTGTGTCACAAGGTTATTGAAGGGGGGGTTGCGGTACTGCTATCCTTACTTCTGTGCTGCTGCTGGCAGCAGCGCTGCCTTCAGATCTGGGCAGCTGGAGAGGTGTCATAAGCAGCAGCACAGAAGTAAGGATGGCATGGTATGGTATTGCCTCCCTTACTTTTGCACTGCTGCTAGTGGGGCACTGCCTTCAGAGCTGGGTGCCCAGCCAACAGCCGCCCCACTCTGAAGGCAGCGCAGAAGTAAGGGTGGCAATACCATGACCTCCCTAAAATAATTTTGCGACCCCACCCCCCTTACAATTCACTTTTGGGTCAGGACCCCAATTTGAAAAATGCTGAAATCTGTATAGTGTAGGGTAAAAGCACACAAGACCAGATTTCACGGAAGGAAACCAGAATTCACGGTCGGTGACTCGTTTTTCATCTTCATGAATTTGTAGGGCCCTATCTATTAATGCTTTAATTTCTATTTTTTGCTACAGATAGTTGAGCAGCTCCTTCTGATTGCTCCTGAGCTAGCTAGTGAGCATGCTGGTGGTGATGGATTAATCTTGGTTTCCTCGGGATTTTAAATCAGTGTTTCATCTAGTCTTTCTGTAGGTTAAAATAAAAATAAATGAAATACACTGGTAGCAAAGAGGCACCACAAATCAGGAACATGTTCAGTGGTATTGTGGAATGCCATACCGAGGAATTCTTGTGGTCAGTCAGTAGTGACTTGCTCAGTAGTGACTTGCTCTGATGCATAATCAAATCTGTGGTCCTAATGTCTTCTCTGACCTTTTGATACCAGTTGATGTGCGAAAGAAGAGAGCTATCCCTCTTACCCATCCATTTCAGAGCCTTGCTAAATGGGATAGATAGGTTCTCAGATTGGTGCCCGTCACCGTGGCATCTGTACATCTCCAAGAGTAAGAACAACAATCTGCCTTTTGCCAGTAGGGAAGGAAGACCTAGATTTTTGTTACTCATCTGAGCATAAGTGTGTGCAAGTGTATTGGTTGCAGAAATGCTTCTGCAAAACAATAGGAGTAGTCTTATTTACTAGATGCTGACTTGGGTGTCTGACGCCTTGTATACTATAAAGCAGATCTTAATCAGTTGAGTCGTCAGGGGTAGAAGTTTCAATTTGTTGGTCTAAGAAAAGGATAGTGTAAGCCAAACACCACCTTGAAGAATGTCCTTCTGTGAGGTTCTTGAAGTAGTGCAAATGCTAGTCTGTTTTGGACTTGCGGGTTCTGCGCTGCTGTACTATTGCAGCTGTATGTGAAAACTGTCTTTCAAAAGAGCCGACCAACCCAAAGTAGCAAAATGATTGATGGGTTTCCATTTCATTTTGGGCTCATGCACTCTTACCATCTCACCTCCATTTAACTAGTAGTGGTTGTGAACCCATTTCTCTTTGCAGGGATCCTTTTGGGGCTGCATCCCTCTTGGATGTTAAGGAAACCCTGTGCGCCTAGCTCCTCTTCTCTATCTGGGGCAATCTGCTCCTTATTTCCCCTCCCCTCTGGAGAAAGCAGAAGTGGCTCGAGCCTTTCCTCGCACAACAAAAAAGCAGCATCTCCTAACTCTCTGCTCTCGGCTATTCCCCTTCCGTTATAGACTCCTTTTCCCAACCTACCCCCACCCCCACATATCTCCAGAGCAAGAACCAGTGGCTTCCTGGCCCTGCTTGTGTGGATGAAATGTCTGTTTTTAACACACTGCTGAATGCAGTGGGACAAATCCCACCTATCCTGTTGTATAGTACGCTAATCAAAAGAGGAAGAGACTAAGGGTAAAAACTTTTAAAGCACCTTATGTCCTTTTGACTTTCAATGAGACTTAGGTTCATAAATCACATGAGCAGTATGGAGAATTACCTTAAATCGCGACAAGGGGCAGAGAAACTTGAGGACCATTTAATTCCAGGCCACAGCAGTCTCCAAACAGGTGAAAGAAACTGAGGTGACTGGTTAATACCCAACTTTATAACTGTGTATAGCTGGCCCTGTGTGCTTGATAGATTTCTGGCCATAGTTGTCACAGGGTTTTTTGTTTGTTTGTTTACTTGTTCGTTATTCCGATGATTGACGATAATTCTCTCATTTTGTCGGGCGTCAGCCATTTGAGAATCCTTGAGAACCTTGGTAAGAGAGATGCTGAATCAGAGCAGGTTATACAGTTGCACATGTGGTTTGTCCATACTTGAGATTAAAATCTGTTGCTTTTTGGCTTGGCTTGTAGGCTATGTGGCTGGGATACCCTGGAACCAGTGGGGCACTGTTCATGGATTATATCATCACAGATCAAGAAACTTCCCCAGTTGATGTGGCAGAGCAATATTCTGAGAAATTGGCTTACATGCCAAACACTTTCTTTATTGGAGACCATGCTAATATGTTTCCCCACCTGAAGGTAAGAGAGAGTGATGGAAAGGAAAGCCGATAGTAATGATTGTACTTCTCTGGGAACTTATATTCAGTACAGTAATTTGGCAATGGAATGTGGTAAATTGAAACTTGTTTTTCTTGATCCACAGAAAAAAGCAGTAATTGATTTCAAGTCCAATGGCCATATTTATGATAACAGGATTGTTTTGAATGGCATTGATTTGAAGGCATTCCTTGACAGCCTCCCTGATGTCAAAATTGTTAAGGTGAGAACTCCACTTCTGTGCACTCTGCCTTAGTAGACTGAACGCAGCATTTTCTCACTGATGAATCTTGCATGATTTCTTAGATGAAGTGCCCTGATAGTGGAGACAATGCAGACAGCAATGCTGCCCTCAGTATGCCAGTCATTCCTATGAATACAATTGCAGAAGCCGTGATTGAGATGATTAATCGTGGACAAATTCAGATAACAATCAATGGATTCAACATTAGCAATGGACTAGCAACTACACAGGTGAGGCAAAGTAGGACAGAAAAATGGTTTTCTCCTCCCTCTTTATTCCCTTGTAATTTCTCTTCCCTCCATCTTGAATCAATGTTTTATTTTTTTTCTCATAATACAAATTAATCCCTTGAGTTTAAGTGATTTTGTTACTCTTCTTTGAATTTTCTTCATTTTAGCTACCTATTGCGAAAAAGGGGACAAACAGAATGCAGATTTCTGGGTCTGATCATGCCAGTGCTGTGTAGCTGGACAACTTACATGTTATACCTCTCCATATGCAGTCCTAAATTGCATTAGTTCTTCTTATTGCCAGATCACACTGCAAGCTCATATCTAATTACCCTCTCAATCTTCCCACTTAAACTGCTTTAGGCATTGCCATACAGCTTTCTTAATTTGCATTTTTTCAGATGTAATGTTTTTCTGCCCATATTTCTAAAGTCTCTGGGTTCCATTATGTCTTCAGAACACTTCCGAATTACCATCATGTGTGAATTTTCTTAAGTCTTCCAAGTGATTAAAGATGTAATATGATTGGATGTAATTAATTGAAGCACCCCACCCTTAACTCGATACATAATTTTCTTCTTTGTTTATGGCGCTCTAATCCATCTTCACTATGCATGACCATCTCTTATTAAAGCTGGTTCTTTTAAGTGCTGATCCTGTGCTTATTGCTGTACAAGACCAATGTACATATAGTCCTTGCCCCAAGGAATTTACTGTCTAAAACAGATAAGAAACTGGAGGAGCTACAAGAGATTGCAAGATAGTGTATTTAAAATTTTTAATTTTAAGTGGCCTCTGCACATTCCCACACTTGGGATATGTTGGTGGTGTAGCTTGGACTGATAGAATCTTCTAATAGCAATGTCTAGTGGAACATGCTTGTGCCTTCAGAGCCATAAGGGAAGGAGCAGAACATTTGAAGAGTGGGACTATGAAAGGGGTTGTGGCACATTGTCCACCTCAGTTCCTTCTAACCCTGGTAACAGATGGATCAGTAACCTAGCTGGGTCCTTGGACCCACATTTGCACAAATGCATCATTCCTGGGGTCAGTGCTGCCTTACTTTGCTTAGTTATTTTCTTGTTTTTTTAACAAAAGACTCTGGCAAATGTCATTAGTTCTGACACATATTGGAACCATAGAGGGAGAAACCATGGTTCAAGAGATATGCCTCTTGCTCTGCTGCTTTTCCTAATACAAATGCATATGTGCATTGTTCCTTTGAGAAAGGTCATTTGCCTTCTCATTGTTCCATATGCAGCACCTTCTCACTCTGGGCCAGAAATGAGTATCAGAATCTTCTCCAAGCAGTGTCATTGCAGGAAGCATTAGTGGCTAAAGCCTTCTGGTTCCAAAACACTGTGATAAGCCAGTACTTGAAGAACAGCCTTGGCTTAGACCCCTGATGGGATTAAAAAGCCCAGTAATGTCCCATTTCAGGCATTTGTCTGTGTGCCTGGAACAAAACCTAAGGTCCTTGTCACTGTGATATATAAAGATTCGATCCAACCAAACATGCTTTAAAATCAGCTGGTCTGGATATCTTGCATCCAAGAGTTTAAAAAGAGCTGGCTGAAGAGCTTGCTGGACCATAATGTTGATTGATTTCCACCCCCCACCCCCTGTAAGTGGTGGAACACTGGAGAAATTCTAGAAGGCTGGAAGAAAGCCAAGTTTGTGCTGATATTTAAAAAGGGTAAAGGGGATAACCCAGGTAGTTACAACCCTGTCAGTCTGACATTAATCCCAGACAAGATAATGGAGTGGCTGATATGGGATTTAGACTTAATGGTCCCTTCTGACCTTAATGATCATCTAGACTGACCTCCTACACAACGCAGGCCACAGAATCTCACCCACCCACTCCTGTGACAAACCCCTAACCTATGCCTGAGTTATTGAAGTCCTCAAATCATGGTTTAAAGACCTCAAGGTGCAGAGAATCCTCCAGCAAGTGATCCGTGCCCCACGCTGCAGAGGAAGGCGAAAAACCTCCAGGGCCACTGCCAATCTGCCCTGGAGGAAAATTCCTTCCTGACCCCAAATATGGCCATCAGTTAAACCCTGAGCGTGTGGGCAAGACTCACCAGCCAGCACCCAGGAAAGAATTCTCTGTAGTAACTCAGATCCCACCTAACATCCCATCACAGACCATTGGGCATATTTACCTGCTAATTATCAAAGAGAGATCAATTGCCAAAATTAGGCTATCCCATCATACCATCCCCTCCATAAACTTATCAAGCTTAATCTTGAAGCCAGATATGGCTTTTGCTCCCACTACTCCCCTTGGAAGACTGTTCCAGAATTTCACTCCTCTAATGGTTAGAAACCTTCATCTAATTTCAAGTCTAAACTTCCTGATGTCCAGTTTATATCCATTTGTTCTTGTGTCCACATTGGTACTAAGCTTAAATAATTCCTCTCCCTCCCTGATATTTATTCCTCTGATATATTTATAAAGAGCAATAATCAAAAATTAAAGGAGGGTAATATAATTAATACCATTCAACATGGGTTTATGGGAAATAGTTTGACAGATTCGATCATTTTTTTTACTTAGATTATATTAATCTTGAAAAATGTTGATACAATATACTTAATCAAAATGTCAGATGCCTTACAGAAGTTTAAGAATTTAGAACAATACAAAATTAACATGGCATATATTAAATGGATTAAAAGCTGGTTAACTGATAGCTCTTAATGTAATTGTAAATGGGGGATCATCATCGAGCAGCTGCTTTTGTAAAATGGTCCTGCGGGGATCCATCCTTGGACCTGTGCTGTTTAAACTTTCATCAATGACCTGGAAGAGAACATAAAATCATAACTGGTAGTTTACAGATGACACAGATTGGAGTGGTAAATAATAAAAATGATGGGCCACTGATGTGGAGTGATCTGGATTGCTTGGTAAGCTATGTGCAAGTAAACATGTTTTAATATGGCTAAATGTACACATCTAGGAACAGAGTGTAGGCAATTCTTACAGGATGAAGGACTCTATCCTAGGAAGCAGTGACTGAAAAAGATTGGGGGGGTTAAGGTGGATAAACAGCTGAGTAACAGTGTGGCCAAAACAGCTAATGTATATTTGGCACCGGTGTGAGCACTGCTGGAATACTGCATCCAGTTCCGGTATCCTTGAATTGTGGATGTTGATAAATTAGCCAGGGTTCAGAGAAGAACCATGAGACTAATTAAAGCTTGGAAAATGTCTTTATAGTGAAAGACACAAGGAGCTCAGTCTACTTATATCAACAAAGAGAAGGTTAAGGGGCAACATGATGAGTCTCTTAGTATCTATGTGGGGAACAAATATTTGATCATGGATTCTTCAATCTAACTGACAAATGTATAGCAAGATCCAATGTCTGGAAGTTGAAGATCGACAAATTCAGACTGGAAAATAAGGTGTAAATTTTTAACAGCAAGGGTAATTATCCAGTGGAACTGTTTTAAAATCAAGATAGGATTTTTTTTTTAAAGAGATGCTCTAGTTCAGAAGGAATTATTTTGGAGGAAATTCTATGGTCTTTATGATGTAGGATGTTAGACTATGAATTTGGCTTTTCATATAATTAAGTCATTGTTATGACTCATAGAAAACTCCTCAAATCCACACTTATACAGAATCTAACCACTCATGGTATGACATCTTTTCTTGGATCAGGGGAGCTAGAGTGTGTATTCAACACTCTGTTCCAACATTTCAGACTGCAAGACCACCTTCCTAATATGGCATGAGGTCATATTAGCCTTCTCTAAGGTATTACCCTGTATTTAAAAGGGCTGAAGAAAGGCAGCCGCAAAGGGAACCATCAGAAGTCTCTTGTCTGGATCAGCTACTGTGCCCACTACTGAGGGAACAGTCTCCTTTACTTGTCAGCTGTCCAGATATAGATGTTGTCTCTGTCTCCCTCTTTTTTGTTTTTTATATGGCCCCAATCACTGTAGTATCTTAGCTCTTCAGTCTTTAATGTAGTTATTCTTACATCCCCCTCTGGAGTAAAGAGGAGCTAAGTGGCTTGCCCAGGTCACACAGGAAGTCTTTAACAGAGCAAGGAATTGAACTTGGGTCTCCCAAGTCTGAGGCAAGTGCTCTAACTGCTAGACCATCCTTCCACTCTGGATTTGAATGTTCAAACTTTGCAAGATAGCAATGTGAATTCATCATACTCCTTCCTTTCAGAAGATATACTACAATTTTATGAACTCTTAAAAGTAGGACTACTGTATTGAAGAGTGTTATGAACATACCTGTTCTTCACCCAGAAGTGTTCCAATTGGACTTGACTAAATGAGGCCATGGAAGCTTCCTCTATTAATATGGCAATATATCTAATTCATAGAGCTGCCACTTAATGCTCTCTTCATATTTTCACAAAATATATTAGTTTGTGCCATCTAAAGCAGATGCACAATTTCAGGCAGTATTACCTTTTCTGTTTAACTGAACCTCTTTATCCCACTGTATGGAGGTAGGAGTACTACTTGTCAAACACACGAGCGTGGGAATGTGCTGAGGCCACATGAAGAAATGAAATATACTCACCTATAATTAACATTCTTTTAAGATGACCTCTGCGCACTTTCCTTCTTCCTCAGTCGTACTTTCAACTTGAGACGGTAGGAGGAGGCGGTGTTAGAAGAAAATGAGACAGTCAGCATGCCATGCCTCCTTTATAGCTTTGTCCACCAGATATTTAGAGCTGCGAGGGGAAGGCCAGGAAGTGTGCAAGTTCTCCAGTAGGTTTTGTTCCTAGAAGGTTCCACTAATCCAAGTTGCACCATGAATACATTCCAAGTGTGTGAACGTGCAGCTATCCTCTCAAAGTATTTTGGTTACGAGTGAGTAACCTTCCTTTTCCTCATATTTGACATAACTTGAATCCGCTCTTCAGGTAAGTATTCATGCTATTAAACTCTTGACTGGATTATTTCATTAGGTACCCTGTGGTCTGAGTTTCAGTGCTCTAAATTAGCTGATAGTTGAAGTTTCTTATATTCTTCCTAGATTAACAACAAGGCAGCAACTGGAGAAGAGGTTCCACGTACCATCATTGTTACCACCCGCTCTCAGTATGGGTTACCAGAGGATGCTGTTGTGTACTGTAACTTTAACCAGCTATATAAGATTGACCCTTCCACTTTACAAATGTGGGCTAACGTGAGTAGTTATGTTTGCTACTAAGTCTCAGATCAGATCTCCATAATTTGACAGCTGTCTTGTTTACAGGAATGGTTTTAAAATGAGCAACAGATCTTTAACTTAAATTGCCCCTATTCAGGTCAGGGAAAGATTTCAGTTTCCTTGCCTGGTTGGTTGAGAATATTTATTTGGCATGGACCTTTTTGAATCCTTACAATACTCTCCGGAATAAGGGATTGGATAATAATGGGATTTGGAATTTCTTTGGGTCTCATTATAAATCGGATCCGAGTTGGGAGTTGAGTAAAAATTGTTACCCTTCTGACAGCTTTTTCATAGTCAATGTGTAATAAGCAGTTCAGTACTGTCCAATTTACACCACTACAACTGGCACTTATTTGCACCATTATCTGTGCTCTTCCCTGACAAGTCAACCATTAGATGGGTACAGAGGCTGAACATCTCACTTCAGGTCAGAGTGACCGGGAATGGATCACTTGATGATTACACTGCTCTACAGCCAAAATGCTTCTGAAATAAATGTAGTCAAACTTTACTAATTCTGGGTTACTGAGAACGAAAA